TGTTATATTGTTTTCCTATCCTTCTTATTTCTTTTCCGAAACGCCTCGTATGTATGGAATTGTAAGTTGTATATATTGTGTATTGTTATCATTGTGTCTATGATTTGGGGTTTGTATTTCGTTTAATTTTGTCAATAAAATATGGTGGACAGTCGTTTTTTATTAATGTATTTTTTATGTGGTTTATATCTCTGTTTAGTGAAATACCCATATAGGATTTTTTGGAGATATGGGTTAATGTTTAGTTAAGAACATATTAAAATAGGTTTTTGATCAGTATTTCTAACCCAGTTTCTAAAATGTAGCACCGACCTATCTGCGACCTTACACTTCTATTGTGTGTTCTTGAGTTATAACGAGTTACGTGAGTTATAACGAGTTACGTTCTTGAGTTATAACGTGTTCGTTGAGGAGACAGTGTCCTGTTAGAAAACCCATGACAATACGAATATTGTTTTAACTTAAATCAAGGAAAATATTTGATTATTCTGAGCAACTTTTTCGAGTGTATTAGACCGTTGGAGAATTCTCATTCCAGGTTACGGATGGAGTCTTCCAGATTCTTCAGTTCCGCTTTAAGTTGATAAAGCAAAACGATCCTGGTCCAGTTAGTGGAGTGTTCGCTCCTTTTCTAGCTGGATCGTTTGCTTTTTCATTGCCTTCTATCCCTTGGTGGGCGGGCACCCAGTGTAGGAGGACTTCATTTTCTTTGCCAAATTTGTTCAGCTTCTCTAGGCACTCTTACAACTTGGATGGTCGCTTTTAGTGCTGTTTGATCTTTTCTAGATTTTAAATGTAAAAACGTGTAAGTGTTGTTTGATTAAATTAAGATTTATATATAATTTTAATGATTTAAGCCGACAGTAGTATCGACTGACTAGTGAGAAAGAAAATCTAGGAACTAGTGGGGTTGCAGTCGGAAGGGTTTGAACTAGAATTAATACACTTTGTTAATTGTCAAGCTTTCGGAATTTATTTATTCCATCCTCAGGACATCAACGTGGTAAAAAAGACGTTTATAAAAGTATTTTAATTAATTAATTTAATGTAGTTTTTAGGAAGGTCTTTTTTACCACGCTGATGTCCTGAGGATGGAATAAATAAAAAAGAAGAAAAAGATTAAACGGCTTAGCCCTCAACAACTCGTAACCGTATACACCAGTGTGCACCAGTGCAGGACGCACACTCACACATTCACACAACCACACCTATACTAGTGTACACTGATGTAACTGCCTTCAGGCTTCATCAGTACGGTAAGGAATCAGGAAGCGATGAAACCGATCCCAAAACACAAAAAACTAGGAAATAAACGGTGCAACGAGGCACCGTGTGCAACCCAGGAGATGGAAAAAAATATGAAGAAACGAAAACAAATGATGGAAAATAAAAGGAGAAAACGGGAGCCTAAAGCTCCAATTTGCAGCCAAGAACCAGAGTCGCCCAGGATTGCGGGCTTCGTCCAGAACAGCCGCGGAGGTAGCCAACAGCAACCATTTCCATTTCTTTCTTGGAATAAATAAATTCCGAAAGCTTGACAATTAACAAAGTGTATTAATTCTATTTCAAACCCTTCCGACTGCAAGCCCACTAGTTCCTAGATTTTCTTTTTAATGGTTTATATATTTTTTTATTGTTTTTTTTCTATATTTTTTATATTCAAAAGTGCTGTTTTTTCTTTTATGACGTTCCTCGCTTCCTCATGATCGTTTTTGTAATTTTGTAACTTAATAGCAATAAAGAAGTATTATTATATTATTACATGAATAAGCCAATCATTCTTATAAGGATTATTTATTGTGGTTCCCAATAAAAAAAAATTCTTCGTTTAAAGTTTTTTATTAACCCTGTAAAACTAGTTAAGAAGTTACACTAGTGGTAACGTTATATATAAGCGATACCAATTAAACTCTTAGTTATGTAATCGAGGGCGCAATTTTTAAATTCATCTTTGTCAACCATGGATATATTCGGCGCCGGGCTGACTAACTGGAATTTAAACATCTCGCTGGCGATTCAGGTGATAACTCTACTGTAAAAAATATCAAGTTGCCACATTTATTTATATATTTACTGACACTGTCATTCGTTTTAACACTTTAGTATTGTATTACGAGTTTTTGGTTTTGTTTAATTTTGTGCTGTAATACTTTAAGTTTAAAAATGTTTACTAGCAGACCTTGCAGTCGAATATTGTTCTTTTTAGAGCCTCCTTCAGTGCGAAGTGTACAAGATAGCTTAATAGCCGTTGCAAAAAACTCATCGCAACCTTATTAGAATATTTTGATCGGGAAAGCGGTAGGAATGGCCCTTTATGTCCCTTAAGTGCTGTTAAGGAGATGTGTTTTGTTGATGTAAATACACACACCGGAAAAATCTAGGGATATCATTTTATTAAAGTTAAAAATAAATGTTTTGAATAAACAACCACATATTTGTAGGCCGATTCTTTCTACTTCGATTGAAACGAAGTAGTCACACTAGTTATTTCTAAATTTGGGATATTTGCAGAAGTGTTTGTGCATTTTTTGTCAAATGTATAAAAAGCACCTAGTACTGGCTATGTTTTTAAGATAACTGACCAGAATTCATTCAAATAACTCTGTTTAGTATTAAACGACATTATGGAGCGTAGACATCTTAACAGAGACGGGTATGGGTATGCTCGAAGCTGGAATGCGCAAATCGACGTAGCTAGAGCATTAAATACAACGCAAAGTGTAATATCGCGATTAAGTGCACGCTACTGTGAAAGTGGTGATGTTGTTGAAAGGCACACAGGGCGAAATCGCATTACTACCCCTCAGCAAGATCATTTTTTACAATTAAATGCTCGACGCCGACCGACTCTTACAGCACCACAGCTTAGTTTAATTCTCCAGGAAACACATAATGTAATGTTCGCAATAGATTAAGATAGGTCAACTTAAGAAGCAGACGCCCCTGGAGAGCTCAACCCTTAACGAGAGGAAATCGAGAGGTACGATATTTGTGGGCTCAAGATCATGTTCAGTGGTCGAATGAACAATGGGCCAATGTTCTCTTCACGGATGAGTCACGCTTTGGAATTCATCCGGATTCGAGAAGGCTTAGGGTATGGAGAGAACTGGGAAATCTTATTCGGTTGGATCATGTTCAGGAAGTGCACCCTTATCAAGGTGGAACAGTTATGGTCTGGGGAGGAGTCCAATTACGCCGAAAAAACGATCTCGTTTTTCTTGAAAGGTTTCTAACAGGAATCACATATCGTGATTTAATTCTTGAGCCTGTCGTGTTACCATATGCCAATGATTTTGGGAGAAACTTCATTCTCATGCATGACAATGCACGGCCTCATACAGCCAGAGTGGTAAGTGAGTTAATCAATGCTCATCAATTAAACATCTTACCCTGGCCGGCACAATCTCCTGACCTCAACCCCATCGAGCATGTATGGGACGCGGTCCAAAGAAGAATTTTGGGAATGGGTATGCCTCGTGAAACTCGTAGGGATCTGGTTCGGGCCCTGGCAGGCTATACCTCAAGAAGAGATCGACAACCTGATCAGGAGCATGGAGAGACGATGTAGGGCTGTAATGAACAGTAGAGGAGGCCATACCCTTTATTAAGTAAAAATGGTTTTATCTTTTTTTTAATTCAGAGTTTAGAATTAAAAAAAATGTGTGTAATTTTTTGAGTTCAATAAAAATCAAGGTAAATTTGAAAAATTCGGTAAATTTTGCATTTTTATTTCCAGTACGTCCTGTAAACTATTTGTTTATTTTAATTTTATTATATCAGAAATGCAAATAATAAAATTACTGACGATGGCTGGATAAAATTGTAATATCCCTAGACTTTTCCGGGATGTGTAATAACTACTGTTTATATATTTATAATTAATTTATTTTTGTTTCCTCAAATATTTTGATTAAAAAAAAATATGTAAAAGTGGGCAACGCTAGCTATGCCGGTCAAGTTTAATCACGTGACTAAAATTTTACTTGGCATGATCTATATACGTATTTATTAATCAAATTCAATTCTTGAAATTAATATATTAATTTATTAATAATTATTTAGTAAATACTGTTTACAAGAACCAGCACAAAAACATAATATCATTTCTGGTCTACATTCAAGACCCACTGACTTACTCTACCGGCGCGGCGTAACCAGTAGTTGCGCACACTTAATGATATCTTCCACTACGTGTTACTAAAACACTTTCTCTTATAATTATCCAACAACGCTAAATCTCTAGCGGAATCAAGTTTTTATGTCAGAGGAATTTAACAATTACTTTTTCGTCTGTATACATTAAATTTCAAGAGCAGACTCATTCAGTTTGCCAAAGAGTTATTATAAATAATTTAAATTATGATTTATCCTCTGCTCCTTAATAATTTCTATAAATATTTATTTACTTCTTTTGTGCTATTGTTATGTTGTTGGTTATATCGAAGGCGATATGTAGATTGCTCGAGATGACAACCCAAATACCTAGATTAAAAAAGAGAATTGTGATGCGGTCTCACCTACTTTCTAAAGAAACTTTTTCTTTTAAAAATTAGGATATTTTTCACCCACGTTTTCTTTTCTTTCATATACGATACAAACCTTCAATTATTAAAGTTTATTTAGTGTTGCTTAAACGATTATTGTATGTAAAACAATGAGAGAAAATAACATTCCAAACTGTACTATATTTTAATGAACTTACAGTTATTATTTGTCTTTTTTATTAATTTTTGAATGTTCTTTAAAACCAAATGAATGAGGATTTAACTGAGTCACGTCGCATCAATAATGAGGGCACAATTCCTATATTGTCGCAAGATTATTCATTAGAGTAGGATCCGATAATATATACCATATGTGATTATTTTTTACTAGATACATTCATTTACCATGGTCTACTTATTGCTAATTCTTGCATTTAAACATATGGTTTTCCTTCAGATGCTGAACACCAGAAAAAAACTGTGAGATAAAGTTAGATAAAATTAAATTAAAAGACAATGAAAGTTAGAAATTCTGTAAGTATCAGTATATTAAATAGTTTACTGTGATGAAAAAAAAATATTAAGAATTTTTTCTTAAAAAAATATCTAGAAACGAATGTCTCGATAACGGTTGCCCATAACGATTTGTACCAAGTGACATTTTTTGCGTAGAAAATTACGGAAATGTATATTTTTTTATTCAGTAGTTTTATTAGGTACGGACGAAAATTTATTTCTCTTCAAATCCCTTACAAAAAATGTAGATAGCGCCCCTTATAAGTAAGAGCTATATTCACATCGAAATCAAATTTATCATGTCAAAAAACTCCCAAAAACCAATTTTCACACAAATATCGACGTTAGTTGTAATTGTTTGGAAAAAGAAATTATTTGCAGAAACCCCGAAATAAAAACGAAACTTCTACACCCTGTATTTCCGAAAGGAAGCATTTTAAGACATACATTTATACGAATGTTTTTACTTATTTTTATCTGCAGAGTATGCTGCTGAAGTTTCCCGAATACAATTTGGACCACCCTGTTGTGCCTAAGGCTTTTAATTTTTTAAAAATGAAAAATAAAAAAACACATTTTTTGAATAAAACGTTTACATGAATTTCTCTATCAATAAATTTCATAGACTTGGTTATCAAACCGTGTTCCCGTAGATTATTTAAATACCTACAAATTTTCTAAAATAATAAAAATTAACAGATTTTTGAACACAACAAAATAATATTAATTAAACAAAACTAGAAAACGTCATTTTTACTGCATCACAAGCAAATAAAAATTAATACGTAGCCAAGAGTCATAATTCAGGATTTCTCTGGGGGGTGCCCAGCAGTACCTGGGGGGGGCGGCACCCCCGGACACCACTGTAGTTACGCCAATGTACACCAGTGCAGACACGCACACTCATACAAACACACCTACCCTAGTGTACACTGATGTTACTGCCTTCAGGCCTCATCAGTACGGTAAGGAATCAGGAAGCGATGAAACCGATCCCAAAACACAAAAAACCAGGAAGCAAACCAGGAGATGGAAAAAATGATGAAGAAACGAAAATCAATGATGGAAAATAAAAAATAAAAAGGAGCAAACGGGAGCCTAAAGCCCCAATTTGCAGCCCATAAGCAGAGTGGCCCAGGATTGTGGGCTTCGTCCAGAACAGCCGCGGAGGTAGCCAACAGCAACCCACCGCAATACCCTTAGCCGTGGTACCAATATGAACAAGAAAGGAATAGTTGAGAGTTGTTGAGGGCTGAGCCGTTTAATTTTTTTCTTTTTTTTTATACATTTCCCTCACTATTTCTTTCTTTTTCATAATAACTGTTTATATATTTATAATTAATTTATTTTCGTTTCCTGAAATAATTTGATTAAAAAAAAATATATAAAAGTGGGCAACACTGTGCCGGTCAAGCTTATTAATCATGAGACTAAAAGTTTATTTGGCACCCAAGTAGCAAAAAGAAATTCTAAAAGGATTGAATTATTTTATAACAGTCGAGTAGCGTTGTCTTAAGGACTGCTTGATTTTATTAAGCGTTTGGTTTCGACCATTCTGTTTTTTAATAAAAGTTGTCATATTAAACTATTTTTAGTGGTTTTTACAACGTATCTATAACGCATTAAACGATAATTTCTTTTTAGTATGATACTTAATAAGACAATGCTATATGATAACAAACATATTATTTTATTAGACTCTTATACCCACTCATGCCAAGGAGTTCTATAATATTCATGTAACTAGTAGTCACAAGATCATATAATAGTTACTTAAACTTGTCTTATTAAAGTTGTATTACGTTGTATGATAGAATGTTTTATTGCGTTAAACTACGGTGCTTTGTATACAACACCAGTTATATAGCCTTATATGATAAATGTGATTAACAAAATAAATTCGCTGTAATATCTGCATTATAAAACTGGTAATGTATAATATAACCTCATTTTAAATTAAATGGTATACCTAGTTATTTATTTTGTTATTGTTATTGCAAAAGTAATATCTACGTACGAGTATAATCAATCACAGCTATTATGAATTCTGGACAAAAGTTGGAAAAAATGTTAACAAACGCAGTGGTAGTTATAAAGAGCATGTAAGAAAAAACTCCTCGAAATTGCGGCAAATAATCCCGAGAATTCCCTGGGTTCTCAAAAGCCAAAATCTCTCGGGTTGTCTGGCTTCTTCAAAGCATTGTTGCCACGTTGATGTAAAAGTTTTACTGTAGTAATGTTTGTATTGTTTTATTGTATTTCCAAGTCCTTAGGTTGCCGCTCACTCGTCGGGTACGCATGAAATGCATTGCGTGCATGAATCCATGAAAACGCGATCATGTTTGTTGTTAGTTTAAATACTAATCAAATGAGATTTGGCAACATCTATTTGTCACAAATCTCAATATGTCCAAAAGAGTTCTATAGTGCCTGGAAATTCTGCGTAATGATAGATATTTATCCTATACCGTTTTATTTTACAACAAAGACTTATTTAAGGGATTCATTTATAATAAAATGGTTGCATTATAATTCGCCATGTTTAAGGCAGAATTTTGTATGGCCTATAGCCGCCATTATATGAAGCTTGAATTAAAAACATCAAAATAAATTGTAAAATGTTATTTTTGAGAAATTATTTTGTGATAAGATTCCCACATACAGTAATAAAGTGTTTAATTAAATTAAAAGCAAATTTTTGAAAATTTTATTTTATTTTATTGTTTAAATTTATATGTAAACCTTAATCCAAATTAAAGCGCTTTAATTTTTTGCCAAATACATACCTATAAACTACCAGTAAAATTTTCGGCGCAACAAAAATTGTCGCTACTTTTCAAACCCTATTAATGATTTTTTATATTACATATTTGTTGTACCTTCTGGCTCTACCCGCCATTTTCATTGTCGAGTGAGGTCTCCTTTTTAACAATCCACATCCTCTAGATTCATTTTACGACACGCTTAATATATAATTTGCTCCTAATATTCTTCGGTAGAAAATAAAATACTCTTGTATCTCGTTAAAAGATCAAATGTTTTTATTGTTCTGTTTCTTAGATGTGACCACGTAATACACAATAAAACTAGTTTTATAATAGTCATATAAAGCTGTGTAAAATAGTTGCATTAGAGTTGTATACCCTTTTTATAGAACTTCTATACTACTAAACGGTTGTATAAAAATGGGCCTTTTTTGGTTGTAAAGCTATCATATTACGGTCATATAGCACGTTATATGAATTGAGGTATCCTATAAAAATTATCACATAGCTGTTTATACAGCCTTTATAAAATAAAATTGCCCATCTAGGGTCAATTTATGTAATTATATTACTTGGAACTAATAAAGATTTATCTATCTATCTATCTATCTATCTATAAGTACAAATCGTTATAAATCTATAATGGCAGCGCATTTTCATTTAATTTTGTACATCATATTTAACCATTTTTATATTTTTTGTACTTTGGATCTAAACTTTTTTCAGAAATTGTTCTGGTTTCTAATTTCTAGTACTGATGTTATGTGCATTCCGTAACATTTATTTACATTATATAGATCTAATCTATCATATTATTGAGGAAGTATTCACGTAATTTTGATATAGATAACATCTAATGACATAACTCATTAACCATCCACGTTCATATAAAACAAATCTGAAAGTAAGCCGAAATATTATTACATCGTTTTGTGACGTCTGGAAGCAATTTGGTAAACAAAATTACACGCACGATGTACCAGTTGGATTAAAAATCAGCTCAGGCGTTTAAAATTCGCTCTTTCGTCAATGAAAAGGACACTGGTTGAATTCAAATTGACGAGATTACAATGGTTAGACCTATATTTGATATGAGTACCTTGCGCCAATTTCTTCGATATTTTATTTTCGTTGTAATAAACTTTTGGTTTTTTCTACGAACTTGATTTTGTTATGGTTATGAATATCAATTAATCTGGATTTTTTACTGATATTTTATATATATTGTCATTCCTAACAGAAAAGGGTTAAAAATTATTATACAGAGTGGTACAAGCTGCAGTAAGAAGTGGATAATTATAGGAAAATAAAAATCAACCAGTAAGTTATACTTTGCATTATTTGAAATGGTTAGATTTCTTGATAGGCAATATCTCCATGGGCCTTGTCTATTCTTACTACTAAAATCACTCCATACCTATAAAATGAAATATGATTTTTAACTGATGTCTATAACATAAATATGCGCCAAAAAGTAAAACTAACAATTCCTCAACATCGTAGTGAGCTATACAAGATATTCTAGTCTAATTGTATCACTAAGCTTTTGAATTACTAACCAAGGGATGACACTTGTATGTTATAACAAACATTTTAAAATTTATGTTTGCAATCTAATACTAAAACCCCTGTAAAGTCATATTATTATTAAATCTAATACCATATTTGACCAGTTTCTGTAACAGACTGGTTACATTATATTTGTGTAGATATTTATGCATAGCGTATTATAAACGACCATTTGTGAATATTATATATGGGACGAACTTTGCTTGTAATTTAGTGTAACTGATTGTTCTTCCAAGAATATCAGTATCAGCTTCTCAAGAAAGGCCATTTCACATTTCTGTCCGTGGCAGCCAAGTGTTAGCCACCGACATGTGGAACTTTCGTTAAACTATTGAACTTTATTCGCAGCGACCTCTTCATGCAATTTCTCATTTCATAAAAATAAATGTCATGCTGGAAAATAATTATGGAAGCCATTATATTTTTTCGTTATTTGTTATTTATCGTGCGATTTTAACGCCTTTTTTAGGTAAATTCGAGAACGCAATCAACTTTACTGAATAAAATAGTGAGTTTATATAACAAAATTTTCGAGCGCCACTCAAAATATTTCAAATTATTAGATTATTTGCACTTACTTATTGTGCATTTTCTATTATTAGTGTTTTTATATTATTCAGAGCTACTGCTACACCGATCGCGGTGGTGGCGACTATACATTCCATTGGTGCCACTATAACGTTCCGCCTTGTCCTTTGAAGTTATTTGTTACTTATTGTGCATTTTCTATTATTAGTGTTTCTATATTATTCAGAGCTACTGCTACACCGATCGCGGTGGTGGCGACTATACATTCCAATGGTGCCACTGTAACGTTCCGCCTTGTCCTTTGAAGTTATTTTTTACTGATTGTGCATTTTCTATTATTTGTGTTTCTATATTATTCAGAGCTACATGAGGTATAGAGTATTTTAACGCCCACTCTTTTAGCTCTTGTTTTATATAGTTGGTTCTCAAATTAGTTCTCCTCTGAGATTCAGTTTCAGATGAACTAACACTACACTCATCTGCAGAAACAGCTTCAAAAATGTCTCAGTCACTAGCTGATTTATGATGTTCATCAATAGAATTATAGAAAGATGTAGTTTTTGTTTCTGATGTTGATGCATCGGCTCGCAGTTATTCCTTCTGTTTAATTCTTCGGTAGAAAGTACTAGAATATTTAAATTTCTTTTTATTCACCTTAGGGATTTTACAAAATTTTAATAAAGCTTAAAAGCAAGTAAAAGAATAAAAGAAAACACTAAAATAGAGCAGTACACGATGTTATCTGAGGAAATTACATTTATTAGGGTTGGTCACTATAAAGTAGCCGTTTTTGACCCCCGTGACTTTTTAGTGGCAATCCCAAGTAACAAATTTTATTTTATAAAGGCTATATAAACAGCTATGTGATCATTTTTATAGGATACCTCAATTCATATAACGTGCTATAAGACCGTAATATGATAGCTTTACAACCAAAAAAGGCCCATTTTTATACAACCGTTTAGTAGTATAGAAGTTCTATAAAAAGGGTATACAACTCTTATGCAACTATTTTACACAGCGTTATATAACTATTATAAAAATTGTTTTATTGTGTATTACGTGGTCACATCTAAGAAACAGAACAATAAAAACATTTGATCATTTAGCGAGGTAAAAGTGTATTTTATTTTTTTACAGAAGAATATTAGGAGCAAATTATATTTGAAGCGTGTCGTAAAATGAATCTAGAGGATGTGGATTGTTAAAAAGGAGACTTTACTCGACAATGAAAATGGCGGGTAGAGCCAGAAGGTACAATAAATATATTATACAAAAAATCATCAATAGGGTTTGAAAAGTAGGGACAATTTTTGTTGCGCCGAAAATTTTACTGGTAGATTATAGGTATGTATTTGGCAAAAAATTAAAGCGCTTTAATTTCGATTAAGGTTTACGTATAATTTTAAATAAAATAAAATAAAATTTTCAAAAATTCTTGTTTTTAAAATAATTAAACACTTTATTACTGTTATATGGGAATCTTATCACAAAATAGTTCTCAAAAATAACATTTTACAATTTATTTTGATGTTTTTAATTTTGCTTCATATAATGGCGGCCATAGGCCATACAAAAATTCTGCCTTAAAGATGGCGAATTATAATGCAACCATTTTATTATAAATGAATCCCTTAAATAAGTCTTTGTTGTAAAAATAAAACGGTATAAGATAAATATCTATCATTACGCAAATTTCCAGGCGCCTATAGAACGATTTTGGACATATTGAGATTTGTGATAAATAGATGTTGCCAAATCTCATTTGATTAGTATTTAAACTAACAAACATGATCAGATTTTCATGGATTCATGCACGCAATGCATTTCATGCGTGCCCGACGAGCAGGGTTCGGAAAACTACATGTTACTTTTAAAACTTCATAAACTACATCACATGTAGTTAATGTAGTTTATGTAGAGGGTGTAGTTTATGTAATCTATGTATGTAACTTTCAAATGTCAAAGGTTTGAGGTGAGGTTATAATAAGTTGGAAGCTTTAAAACACATAATGTATTTAAGAAAACAGAGAAATATGGCTTTAAATATAATATTTACATCATATTATCTCTATTACACCCCATACAAAGCAAAAATATTCATAATATCAATACATAGTTTATTAACGTAGTTTTCATGTAGTTAATGAACGGGAAAAGACGTAGTTTTTGAAGAAAAACTACACGTAGTTAATCAGGTAAATTACGTCTTAGTTAACTACTTCCGAACCCTGCCGACCAGTGAGCGGCAACCTAAAGACTTGGAAAAATACAAACATTACAAACATTACTACAGTAAAACTTTTACATCAACGTGGCAACAATGCTTTGAAGAAGCCAGACAACCCGAGGGATTTTGGCTTTTGGGAACCCAGGGAATTCTCGGGATTATTTGCCGTAATTTCAAGGAGTTTTTTCTTACATGCTCTTTATAACTACCACTGCGTTTGTTAACTTTTTTCCAACTTTGTCCAGTTGTTGTGAATAGTTGTGATTGATTATACTCGTACGTAGATATTACTTTTGCAACAACAACGATAACAAAATAAATAACTAGGTATACCATTTAATTTAAAATGAGATTATATTATACATTACCAGTTTTATAATACAGATATTACAGCGAATTTATTTTGTTAATCACAATTTTATTATATAAGGCTATATAACTGGTGTTGTATACAGCACCGTAGTTTAACGCAATAAAACATTCTATCATACAACGCAATACAACTTTAATAAGACAAGTTTAAGTAACTATTATATGATCTTGTGACTACTAGTTATATGAATATTATAGAACTCTTACATGGTGGGTATAAGAGTCTAATAATATAGTATGTTTGTTATCATATAGCATTGTCTTATTAAGTGTTATATCATACTAAAAGAAATTATCGTTCAATGCGTTATAGGATACGTTGTAAAAACCACTAGAAAATAGTTTAATATATAACTTTAATTAAAAAACAGAATGGTCGAAACCAAACGCTTAATAAACTCAAGCAGTCCTTAAGACAACGCTATTCGACTGTTATAAAATAATTCAATCCTTTTAGAATTTCTTTTTGCTACTTCGGATGGATAAGCGACGGCTACTTTATAGTGACATAGGAAGGTAGCAGTAACCATTTTGCTACTTTCAATGCTACTATATATTAGAAGTAACTAGGTGTCGTGGCCGCGACTACCCCGTAACTTAAATTATTACTATAAAGTAACAAAAACTTAATGGAGGCATTATGGTAGCACTTGTTGGTAACCCCTACTTTGAAAAGTTACTATAAAGTTGTTGGTCTTTTATGGTGTCATATTCGAAGATTCGGGTAGTTGCAGCCACTTCTTTAAATTACATGTTTGCGACTTGCAATCGGGGTGTTTATTTTCCACTTTTATGGTATGTAGGGACTAACCGGTCACTCTCGAAATATACTTCAAAGTGACTATTCCTTATAGAGTAACATTTTAAGTGGCAGAGTGGGCCTAGGAACTATACTTTAGGGGCAGTGACATTTTAAAAAGGACTGGGAATATTTGCTAGTTGGGATTTGTATACTTACTAATGTTTAGTATTCTCTTTTGTTTGTTTATTTTACCTTTGTCTACAAATTATCAAAAAAAAATTGGCAATAAAGGCATTTATTTATGATTTATTTTATTCAACAAAAAGTCAAAAGTCAATATTTATATATCAACGTATTCTCTTCAAATTTGGATTACAAAGAATAAGTAAAACATCTAAAAATTTTCTTTTTCTTTCAGATGATTGGCCTGAAAATCGTAGACGAACTGCTCAACAAATCCTTCTACAAGCTGGGACTTGTGGTGGGCAAACATCCCGGTTACTTCCTCATAATCCCCGTGATGATCACCATTCTCGGAATGACGGGATATCAAAGGGTACACAACAACATTGATCCAGAGTACTTGTTCAGTCCCATTAATGGAGAAGGAAAAATTGAAAGAGCCATAGTGGAAAATTATTTTAAAGTCAATTATACGAGTAGGTTTGACGTGGCAAGGATAACAAGAGCAGGTAAGTGATTTTTCGCAATACGAAAATAGAGTAATTTTTATAATTATGCCAATTGTCAATTATCGTTGAAAATTTCTTGATAATATTAATTACTGAACACACTCCTCCTCCTCATAGGTGCCTTCTCTGTTGTGGTTGACGATTAATATGGCATATGACTCTCTCTCTTGGTGAATAATGATGTTTCCGTCGGTGTAGGTCCAATCTCTTATGTTACATAGCCATGATTTCTTTTTCCTCCTTATGCTAAGTTTTCCATCGATTTTTCCTTCTATTATGAGCTGTATTTCCTCATATTCTGAGTGCCGCATTATGTGCCCAAGGTAGGAAGTTTTGTTGATTTTAATTGTTCCTGTTAGGTGTGCACGAGTTTTCATTCTGTTTAAAACTTCACAGTTTGCTGTTCTGGAGGTCCAACTTATCCTTAGCATCCGACGATACATCCACGTTTCAAATGCATTAAGGCATTTGATGTCTTCTTGTTTTAGCGTCCATGTTTCGCATCCATATTGAAGCAGGGGCGATATATAACATTTTATTATTCTTAGCCTCGTTGGTATAGCTATTCTCGGATGGCGCGAGAACTTCCGCATATTGAGGAAACCAGCCCTAGCTATTTTAATCGTTCCTCTGATTTTCTTAAAGTGGTCTAGCTGGCTGTTTAATTCCCTGCCCAAGTAAATACCGGGTGTTGCATCGTCGTTGGGAACATAGGAAATCCCATGCAAAATTTGAACTGTCCAAATATTGGCTCCCCTATGGATTTTATAGCGAAGTCGTAAATAGACTTTTTAAAGGTCTACATTTGGTAAACACACATGCCAAATTTGAACAATTTTGGACAAGTCGATTTTAGGTAATTTGAGAAAAACTTAATCGATTTTTATATTAAAACCGAACAGGTAACAATCTAACACCAGTCAAAAACTGATATACCTTAGGTTTACAAACTATGATTTTGTCATTGTCAAAAGTAATTTTAATAAAGTTTTAATATTTAGGGGAAATTAACCGAAACATGTCAGATGTCTAATCTATTTCCCGCGTATTTTATCATGTTCACTTTTTCTTTATGTCTTTATGTGTATAACAATAAATTACTACTAGTACTGAATATTAAAATTTTATTAAAATTAAGTTACGTTTGAAAATGATGCTGACAACTTAAGAAATGTCGCTTTTTGGCTGGTGTTTGATTGTTACCTATTCAGTTTTAATTTAAAAATCGATTAAGTTTTTCTCAAATTACCTAAAATCGGTTTGTCCAAAATTGTTCAAATTTGGCATGTGTGTTTACCAAATGTAGACCTTTAAAAAGTCTATTTACGACTTCGCTATAAAATCCATAGGGGAGCCAATATCTCGACAGTTCAAATTTTGCATGAGATTTCCTATGTTCCCAACGACGCCGACGATGCAACACCCGGTATATGTCTGCCTGGGCCTGTATTCTGTAACTTTGACATAAAAACGTTACGCTTTCAAAGCGGTGAGCGCAAGTATTCGATCAGCGAAACGCAAGGCAGTCGATTTTGGTATTCTCGTTGCCATGCGAATCGTGTTCTGGATACGCGTTGAGCACATATTGGCAACATCACAATTTCTAATGTAGCTAATAGTCAAAAGTTGATAACTGACGAATATAACAATGAAAAATGTCAATGTTACGTGAATTTCATAACCTATTGTTGAGTTATGTCAAGCTATTTTTCTATGGATATGTCATTATTCTTATTATACGAGGGAAGTGTTGAAGAGTCTTCTCAGCATTTTCGATGTTTTTAACAATAGTTATAGCTGCCAAGTCGTAAATTACCAATTACTTATTGAGGCATTTATAGAAGAAGTAGTAATTTTCACTAAAGAGCAAGATAACGCCCCAAATCACAATTTTTTTGATTTTCACTGACAGTTCGATAAGCAAAACGATCCTTTAAGGCAACCGTTTTCAAAGCGCTCAGCGCAATCATTAAAGACGCTAAACGCGTCAGACGAGAATACCGAAATCGTTGTTTAATTGCGCGCTCAGCGAAAATTAACGTCATGTACGCTAAGCGCTTTTAGACGCTCAGCGTAAAAATGAATATGTCCGTGGTTAGCAACAATGCTTAAAAATCGCGTCCTCGATTATATACTAGTATACAGGGTGCTACAAATTCGAGGTACGAGCATTGGTAACTCGGTAACCGTAATAGATACGAAGATGGTTAAATTGGGGCAAAGTTGCCCTTTGGGATGTTCACCAAGATGGCATCAAAAAAGTTTTAAAAATTTCAAGGATTGATGAGTTTTTTGGAAAAAAACGGATATTTTTGAAAATCAATTTAATTTTTTCTTGTCGATACTTTTTAGAAAATCAAAAAACTAATTGCACATTTTCATAGCCACTTTATTAGGGCTATCTGATAGTATTTTTTGATATTCAAATCAGCTGATACATTGTGAGATACAGAGGCCAACTTAATTCTTTAAATACGGATCTGCATTTTTTATTTCGGATTTTGAAAGAACTCGGTCTCCCGAGTACAATGATATGCCACACTTAATATTTTTTTGTTTTGGAAATTTGGACACAATTTATTTAAACTAATTTCAAGTCCGGCTCTGTTTTTTATTATTTAATATATTCATTGTTACAATATTGATAAGCTTTCAAACTTAACAGTGACGTGGGTTGAATACGGAAAATCAAATGCAATAAAATAATAAAAAATAATATAAACAAAATGTAATATAAACAATCAAATTATTCCTCGGAAGATGGATTGGAAATGGTAGAGCAGTATAATGGCTAGCCAGGTACCTGGACCGTCTGATGACGTCAAGTAATTCGACAGGTCCAAATTTTACAAAAAAGTGAAATCGACACATCTCGGCAGTTACAATAAAGAATACAAAATGCATTCAGAAGTATAAGAAGATCTATTGAAAAGCTATAAATAAAATTGAACGAAAAATAAATTCGTGCATTAGGGAGAACATATAGACTATGTAAAGCATTAGAAACTAGTTTATAGAAGTTAATTTATACATAATAACTCTACTAACTAAAGATTAATATTATGCAAATTATTAAATCGTACAATGAGAATTTCAAATTCACAATAAGAAAAGTTAAAAATAATATCTTTCAATTGGCTCAATTTTGTTTATTCAATGTTAATTAGCACTGATCAATATCGTTGCGATGAATATAATCAGATTAAATAATTTAAAAGACAAAACAAAAAAAAGTATAAAGTGTGGCATATGATGAGTTCTTTCAAAATCTGAAATAAAAAATGCAGGTCCGTATTTAAAAAAATTAAGTTGGCCTCTGTATCTTACAAATTATCAGCTAATTTGAAAATCTAAATATACTATCAGATAGCCCTAATAAAGTGGCTATGAGAATGTGCAATTAATTTTTTGATTTTCTAAAAAGTAACGACAGGAAAAAATAAAATTAGTTTTCAAAAAAATCCGTTTTTTCCAAAAAACTCAGCAATCCTTGAAATTTTTAAAACTTTTTGCATCATGCTGCCGTCCTAACAGAAAACGCAGCAACTCGAATTTAAGAGATTTTGAGATTTTGGTAGATTTGTACTCTTTAACATCTTTTCTATCAATCTGCTATCTCAGATTTTTCGAAAAAAAAAATTTTTCCCCCAAAATTTGAAAAATAAAATTGCAGTAACTCTGACACGTCATGTAATTACTATTGAGAAATGCAGCAAATATAACTCCTAAAGAGAACTGCAGTATTCTAAAATATACTGTTTCAATAATTTGTATTGCCATAAAACTACGTTACATATTTCTAACCTGAAATGCAGTAACTTTGTTGTACTAGAATGCAACGCAATAAGTCATAAATTACAGCAATCTATGTTTGTATATGTTAACCTAAATGTCACTTGTTACTTAGAAAAAACGCAGCAAAATCGGTATGCTAAATCATAATGCAGTATCTCCACAATAGATACCATTAAAATTACGAATGTATGACATTGTACAAACACCGCGACACATCACAGGTTGCCAATTAGGACTGCAGTAAGTTTTCCTTGGTCCAGCATATCAAAATCTTTCATCCCTCAGTGTCGCATTATCGCAGGGAGCGCCCCGAATAAGAAATGTTTACCAAGTGATATATCGATGACGTTAATGTATAAACATTTCCGGAGCAAACATCCAACCTTTACGTGCTCTTACGAGTTGTACAGATTAGCAGTTAAGGCTAAAAATATATCCTCTACATAACTAGGGCATGAAGAGTGTGAATGCTGCACGGTATTTGAAAATCATTGTCACTCGAAAGAAAATATAGATCTGGAATGTGAGACGTGTAACACTTACAGCGTACATATAAAAAAGCTGCAAAATCAAGAAAAATGTGTAGAGAAGAAGCCGAAAAAGAAAGATGTAATGATGAAGTCTGCTACTCGGCAGATTTGCAAAAGGTCATTATGCTCCCAAGGTTAGACCAATATAAAGTGGCCTTATTTACACCATGTATAATAATTATACGTATAATAATTATATTCCTTAATCCTTTGTTCCTGTCGGGAAAAAACAAGTTGGTGTAAAACCAGTAGCTGCTGTTTGGCATGAAGGTGTTGCTGGAAGAAAAAAGGAAGATAATATAAGTACCGTCCACTCCTTCTTCCTGGAAAATCGGGATTTCGCAAAAATTATGTTATGGCTGGATAACTGTTCCGCTCAAAATAAAAATTGGTCTTTTTTTCCTTTCTGATCTATATGGTAAACAGTACAGACATACAAGCAAAGGAAATATGGGTCAAATATTTCGAGCCCGCGCATACGTACATGAGCGCGGATAGTTTCCACCATCAGGTGGAACTTTCTATGAAATATAATGGTAGCGTATGCGATTTTAAAGATTTTAGTAATGCCGTACAAAAAAAAAGGCCAATTCGGGAAGAGTAACGGCAATTGAAATGGAAATCGGACACTTCTACGATTGGCTTGATCATAGTTCCCAAAACAAAATAAAAAAACCGAGCCGCGACCATATTTGTCCGAAATAACAATGGTGTTTGCACAGCCGGGAAACAATTGGTTACAATATTTTACCAATTATGATTCAACCACTCCAAGAATTTTAAAGTTTTTGAAGGTTAAGTCTGAAAGGGACGGAATACAGAAAACAATTCCTCGAACAAATCCGAGAGGAATAAATAAAGAAAAAAAAAGGAGGGTATAATAAAAAAATTATGCCCTCTTATGACAGAAGAAAGAAGGCAGTTTTGGAATGACAACGATGTTACTGATAACGTCAATGATTTAAATACTTCTTTTGAATAATTTTTAATTGTTATTGCTATAATATGTATTACTTATTAAATTTACTTTTTCGTTTTAAGTATATGTATAATAATATAATTTTTTCTGCATATAAATTACCTGTGGTTTGGGTCTTATTTTTTTATTGTTATACATATTTATTAGAATAGCCTATTATGCCCTTTTTGAGTCACATCTTCGTTATGCCCTTCCATTCTGGGGTACTTGCTGCGCAACAAAATTTGATCGTGTTTTCATACTTCAAAAGAGAGCAGTTCGATATTTATTGGGACTAAACAGTAGAACTCACTGCCAGAATTTCTTTAAAAATTTGAAAATACTGACTCTTCCTTCTTTATTCATTTTTGAATCCGTTTGCTTAATCCGCAAGCACATATCTGCTATTCCCGAAAGGCCATCTCATAACTATCCACTTAGATAACTATCCGAGCTCAGAACTAGTTAAAGGTTCAATACTGTACAATGCCAAAATAATGTACAATCATCTGCCTTTGAATATCAAATCGCTTTCATTCTTTCCCGCATTTCGCAAAGCTCTAAAATCATACCTACTGGAGAGAGCCCAATATGCGGTAAAGGACTTTTTGTTGATGTTTAATTATGAACAATTTTGAATTTTAAAATTTTGATCATCTCACACACTGGTCAAAGATCAAGTATTTAATATTTTATAACTTTAAAATTATATCTATTTACTGTGTACTGTTCTAAAATTGTCCATGTATATTCTTTTTGTAATTTTAAAGACTTAAATTTTTTTGAATTGTATTATTTGTATTGTGTATTTTTTGTTGTTTGTATTTTTTTGTGATTTTGTTGTTTGTGAGTGCTTTGTCGATGAAGCTGTTTTGGCTTTTTGCACAATAAAGCGTTGTTTGTTTGTTTGTTTGTATTCGACTTTCCAGTAGTGAAATCCGAAAATAAAGGTACTAAAAAAGCAAATTATGGAGTAAAGTTAAAATTATTATAGTATAGTTTTACAAAAAAGGCTAAAAAAGTGACTTTTTTTCTCATTTATCATAATAGCGGTACATCAAAGAATACTAGATAAAAACGCAGTAAAATGGCAAATATTCCTGAGTTACTGCATTATTCTTTAGTAATGACTAGATAAACATAATTGAACTGCTAAGCCAAAATGCATTTAATTAAATTATTTTTTATCAAAGTCATTAAATAGGATAAAAATTAGGCAATTATACAAAAAAATACTTATATTTTAATATTCCTTAAAAAAAGTATCATTTTTTATCAAAACGGTAACTAACAATAAACAAACAGTAAAACCTATTTTTCTCGAAATCCCATTTTTGGAGTTACTGCGTTTTCTGTTAGGACGGCAGCATGGTGAACAGCCCAAGGCGCAACTTTGCCCCAATTTAACCATCTTCGTATCTATTACGGTTTCCGAGATACCAATGCTCGTATCTCGAATTTGTAGCACCCTGTATATTATGTACTATTATTATTATCTACAGATAGGGAATTCACATTTAGTTTTCATCATTTTCTGCCAATTCCTTATCAGTCCTCAAGAAATATTGATATAATGAATATAAAATCGTTCTGTAAAAAAATACTCTTGAGAAACAACCAATTGAATAAACGCTTCACTAACCATGATACATTATTAAATAATTTTATTATTTGCATAGTTTGTGCAATGTTTTTAATTGTGAAAAGTATTCTTAATATCGGACACTTCTAATTAATGAAATAATCAAATTAATTAATTTAATTACTAAGTAAAAATGTAAATTGTCTTAGAAAACTAACTATAATAAACACCTCCAACCATATAACATTCCTTTTCATGAGCAAATAATTTTAATTTGTACTTATTTCAAAGATACAAATAGAAAATTTGATTTCTACTTCTGTGCTAATAGCATAGGCGTTGCCAGTACAAATACCGTATGCTTGGATTGCGCTAATAATGGTGTATTATTATAATTACTATTTTTTTCCTAAACGGCCGTATAAAAAATAAATACCAGGACATTTAATTTAGTTATGGTAAACTATAACAATAAACTAGTTTTGCTGCACAGAATTTGCTTTCTATAATACGCTTAGTTCTGTGATACCAAGTCTTAATATGCATTAATATTATATTAATAATACTTATGGATTGTTATGTACGTATACCATGCTGTAGTTATCTACCGTATGTAGTATCATCGGCCGTCTGTCCTTCTTGTTATGTGTCCTGACTAGTGATGTAAACTTTAGTTACTTATATGGACTCGTTACTACTAGTTACTTTTGGTAATTGGACTCGTGACTTTGGACTCGTTACTTTAGTTACATTAGTTACTCGTCACTTTGGTACTTAGTATCGTTACTTTATAATCGTTGTTTTGTGTACAGGTTGGAAGACTTGGGATTGACTTGGAATTTCGTTACTTATTGTGCGCGGCGATCTTCGTTGCGTGCTCGGTTTAACCTATAAGGGGTTTCTACTTTCTTCTAGTTTAAGGGCTTAATAGGATAATTTCAATACTCGGTATTCAAGTACTGTAGTACAATTCCCTTCCATTGTGGGCAGGAGCTCCGTCTTGCTGCCACCATATTTCTTGCAAAACCGCCAAAGGTTGATTGTCTAGAGCGTCTAAGACATCATTCCTAATCAAATTTAGATATCGTCCCATCGTAAATGAAAGGTCCAATAATTGTGTTCCTCCACATACCAATCCATACATTGAATGAAGTTCTCCCTTGAATTCGTACCTGCTGGTTTATCCTTGGATTATCAATAGACCAATAATGTTCATTGTTTCTATTGAATAATCCGCTAGTTGAGAAGATGCATTCGTCCGTCCATATTATATTATTAAGGAAATCTACATTTTCATCTATTTTTTGAACAAACCAGTCACAAAACTGCAGGCGCCTTTCATTATCTCCTGGCCTGAGTGCCTGTCTAACGTGTATTTTAAACGCTTTGTATCCATGAGAATGTAAAGTATTTTGTATACGTTTTCTGGGTTTGTTGAGTTCATGAGCAAATTGTCTAGTTGATTTCCTGGGGTTGTTGTCCACCTTAAAGAGAAATACGTATATTGTAGAAAAAGATAGAAAAATAAAAAATTAACCAACTTCATTAATAATCTGTTGATCTTCTTCAGTAGTTACACGGGATCCATATTTTCTTCTTGGTTATATAGAGACAAATTATTGTCTAAAATAGCGAAACGGCTATAATGAGGCTGTGGTCTTTCCGGATACAATTCCATATACTGTTGACTTGCTACTTGAGAATTTCGATTGCAACTATAATAGATTTTTATCATATCGCGCATCTCAAAAGGAGAAAATACCATTTTGCTATTAACTAGAGCCAAGAATACGAGCCCTAACAACTAAATGTTCGGACAAACAAAAAATTATTAAAAACCATTATTTTAATTAACTGAATTACTTACATTTAAGAAATACATTAAAAATATATTAAAATCTAACATTTCTAATGAGTAATATTGTTTTTATTTAACCACAAACAACACCCAAGAAACAACTAAAAAAAATTATATACATAATTATATATTACTATAATGCTCATTCTTTGTTTCAGGTAGATTTGGCAGAGTTATTATCACGTCCAAAGATGGAAACAAGAATATGTTGAGAGTCGAAGTCTGGAAAGAAATTAGAATGTTAGACGAGCTAATACAAAACATGACCGTCATTTACGAAAACGAATATTTTACTTATAACGACATTTTGTGTGAAGTGGATGACGGAATGCTTCAAAACGATATTTTAAATTTGGACTACATTATGGAGGACGTAAGTAGAAACAATGAATACCTAATTAATCGAAATAATAATGTTGTGAATAAAGTGGTATAAACACTTTTATAAATAAACTAGCGTGTACCAACGACTTCGTAAGCGTCGAATTAATCATTTGTAATGGTGATGATAAAGCAAAGCAAGAATTTCCATTAACATACAAACTGGATAAAATTTTCTCATATTTATGGCAGCATGAGAAAAAACAATATGGCGATATTATTATATAACTTGGTAATATTTGAGGGGTAGTTTCATCTCGTTGGAATTTGACTTTCAAAAAATCCTTTTGCCAAAAATAAGCTTTTTACGTCAAGCAGTTTAAGCAGAATCGTGGTTAAGAAATTACCCAACTTTTTGGAACACCCTGTATGATTTTTTAAAAAATTTCAAGATATGTAAAAAAACCAAATAAATTATGCTTGTCCAAGCGTTTTCCCGAAAGACTAACCGTTTTTTAAATAACAAATATTGTAATATTTGAGAGGCGTTTTCACCTTCTTGGAATTTGAGATTCGAGAAACCCCTCCTTATCGAACCTCTACACCCCACAGTCAATCCGTTTGCCAAAAATCAGCTTTAAAGGTCAAGCAGTTTAAGCAGAATCGTGATTACTCAATGGTCATATTTTATGAAACACCCTGTATAAATTTATAAAAAAAATCTTAAAATATGTAAAACAACAAAATAAAATATACGTGTTTAAGAGTTTTTCCGAAAAACTCACCGGAATTTAAATAAAAAATATTTTAATATTTGAGGGATAGTTTCACCCCCTTAGAATTCGAGTTTCGAAAAGTCCCTTCTTATCGAACCTCTACACCCTAAAGTCAATCTCTTTTCCAAAAAATCAGCTTTTTACGTCAAGCGCTTTAAGCAGGACCATATTTTTCAAAACACCCTGTATACATTTTTAAAAAATCTTAAAATATGTAAAAAAACAAAAGTGTTTAAGGGTTTTTTTCGAAAACTTGACCGTTTTTTAAATAAAAAATATTGTAATATTTGAGGGGTGGTGTCACCCTCTTGGAACTGGAATTTCGAAAAATCCCTTCTTATCGAACCTCTACAGCCTAGAATCAACCTGTATGCCAAAATTGAGCTTCTTACGTTGAGTGGTTTGAGCAGGATCGTGATTAATCAGTGTGTCAGTCACTTAAGGATTTTATATATTAGTATAGATAAGCGTATACCTAGAATTAGAATTAGAATAAGTGGGAGGGGGGTTAATCTCTGCGACCTTAGAGATCTATTGTGTCCCCCTTTCTTGAGTTATAACTCATCATACAGTCCCAAGACTTCCTACGGAGACCCGTGTCCCTCACAGTCGAGGAGCTACGACCCAGGCCGGGTAGACGAAACGGTAGCTTGTGTCGCCTGTTGGGTTTAGAGGTAGGAGGTAGGCTCCCGACGCTTGGAGGAGGTGGTAGCTTGTATGCCACTTGCGGAGGATGGTCTCACGCAAGTGTCAGCCACCTCTCCTGTAGTTCTCTTTGGGTTTGGCCCCTTGGAACTTTTATTGTTACAGTGTCGCTAGGGGGTTTCCCCACAGCTTCACCGGTGATGTTTTTATTACTATTATTACCAGATCTCATAGTGTTCCTATGAGTCGCTAGGGACAGTCGGTCCACTTCTACAGAGCCCGCATGTAGAAGTAAGGGGTAAAATACAATGGGGTGCCCCGGTGCCCCCAAGGTTGAGGCTGTCCGTAGCCCCGCCCGGTATCGTTATATGTCTTGGTGCAATTCCCTGGCCACGACACTACAGTCAGGGACAAGACGATGAGTGAGATGCTTCTTAGACCAAGCCAAGTGCTAGAGGGGATTCCCCCCAGCACCTGACCAGGAGCTTCCCCACCAACGACAAGGTCTTGCATCTCCTAGGGGAAGAGGCGTATACCTAACAGATATTATAATAAACTGGTCTTAGGTCTATACGTGAAATTTTTTTCCATTCCATAATGGGGTAGTGGTAAAAGGGTGTAGCGGTGAGGGGTGTAAAAATTGCATTTGAAAAATCCAACCAGGTATCATGTATTGACCTTATCTTGAAAAATCCTATCAGAGGTATTGTGTACAACTTCAAAATTGTATTAAAAGTAATTTACATACATTTAAGAAACCTACCTCAAATTTCCTATCAAATCCATAAGAGGGTAGTTAAGAAAGAAAGTAGGGGGAGGGGTGTGAAAATTGTTAAAGTATTTTTAATAATTAGACTTTTAAGCTGGCTATCGGTCTGTTCCCCTGCAATATTTTTGGATCTATGGTGTGGTCCTCTTCTGATCTCTCTAGATAACATTCTCCAGTTCATAACTATTGAAATTCCTGTCAATATATTTGATTATATAGGTTGACCCAAAATTACTTTATTATTAAATTATATCAAATGAAATCAAATTTTTACATAGAATTATTCCACTTGAAATATTGTATTATACTTATTTTTTTTTATTTCACTACCAATTTAAAAAAAAATAATTTAAAAAGTAAATTATTATTATTAATACATTTTAAATATAATCAAAACACAGTCCAAAAATAAGCTAAACGACAAAGCTGTTGTTCTTAAGAGTTGAAAATATTCTATTAATTTTCTTTCCAGTCCTATTTAATTATCCTTGATTTTGATTGTATTAAAACTGAGTCATTTTCGACCACTATCCCCCAGGGATTAATAATTTTTTAATTAATCATTATTGAAACATTTCAATATTAATAATTAAACAAATTGTAGTATTTTAAACAATTATTATCAATATTAATTGGGTGCCCGGTGGCGTCAAGGTACAGCTCTCATCTACTAATCTAAAGGTTGTGGGTTCGAATCCCACAGCCGGCATTTCAACCAACGAATTTAAAAAAAATAAAAATAGTTTGGGTACCTAGGTCGGCTCAGCCTTAAATGAGTACTTGGGATTCATAATCCTGAGGTAATAATAGGCGGTTGAAGCGTAGTGTTAGCCACATTACCTCCCTTGTATACCGAACGACTCTAGCATTGCTAGCTATACCTTGCTATTCCCAAGGCATTAAACGGTATATACGGGAGCTATTATTATTATTAATATTAATTAATATATTTTCTCTGCAAGAAAAGCTACAAAATACAATAGTTTAAATACAGTTTTTTGTAAACACTTCTCCGTTAATCCAAACGGAAACTACCTGTCAGAAATTAGGTTTACAGATATATAAATTTGCCTAACGAACAAAAAAATGCTTAACGTTTCGGAAAGAATCTCTTTACGTCATTAATAACGCCAAAATTATAATGAAAGAAGCGATAAAAAAAGAAAAATAAAAGAGGCATTTTTAATACAATCTAATAAAAATAAATGTATTGCTCATGCATCTGTAGATGTTAGTAATGTATGATGTATGGCAATCGCTTCTTTGATTTTAAAGAACATAACATAAATAAACATAACATACGTAAAAATTAAAAATAACCATACAGAAAGTTTGGGGCTTCTTGGTTTTACCTTATAAATTACTTTAAAATTACCTTCTTGGGTTATACCTTAAGTAATTGTTATTAGGTAGTTAATTGTTAATTTTGAAGTTTAACTTGATATAATGTAATTTTAACAGAACGTCAACGATTTTGGTAGACGTATCTGTTTTAAAAAAACTAAAGTTTTCTCGAATAGTTGAATTTAAATAGTTTTTTTTCTTTA